GTGAAAGGATTCTAATAAGAGGAGAATTTCGTCTCAGTTCAGTTGAAAACATAGAAACCAATATTTTCTAATATTAATGGAGCATTTATACTATTATTCAACATTTTATACAGAAAACAGAGTGATATAATTTTTCTTCTGAGAGACAACCTGGTGATCTTAAATAATTTGCGTGCAAATTCGTACGATCTAAAACCAATGAAAACACGGAATTTTTTGTAGTAGAGATACCTAATGAATTTATTTTGAATAGTTTCTATTAAATTAGAATAAAGAATTGACCCGGGATCCCATACTATTACCGCATATTCCAGCTTAGATCGCACTAAAGAATTGAACAGTAATTGCAGCGTCTGTAAGTTTGAGAAACTGTACCCATTTCTAATGACAAATCCTAAGAGACGCAAAGCTGTGGTTGCTGTGGCTTTAATATGTTCAGCAAAGCATAAACCAGGCGAAAACAACACACCCAAGTCTCTCTTTTTAACAACACACCTCAAATTCACATTATTTATTTTATATACAAATTCTATCGGCCTCTTCCTCAATGTATACGTCATTGACTCACATTTAGACACATTAAAATGGAGCTTGTTGAGCCGACACCAATTAAATACGTTATCTAAATCAGACTGTAAGGACCGGCAGTCAGTTAAGTCGTGTACAGTTGTGAATATCTTCAGATCGTCCGCAAAGAGTAAGCATCTGGTTGAGTTAATTACCAGGGGCAAATCATTTATAAATAACAAAAATAACAAAGGTCCCAGATTACTACCCTGCGGAACCCCTGAATCAATCCCCAACATATCTGATACTGCGTTTTTATAAGAGACGTAATAAAATCTGTTGGACAAATATGAAACAAAAAAACTAAGAGTAGAATAAGAAAACCCGTGTTGTGCCAGCTTGTGCAGAAGCGTATCATGATCCACCCTATCGAATGCTTTTGCAAAATCCGTGTAGATAACATCCACTTGAGCTCTAGCATCCAATGCTTTGGAAACGTAATCCGTAAAGATAGTTAAGTTGGTCTCCACAGAGCGACCAGGAATAAATCCATGCTGATTAACATTCAACGAAAGTTTTACTTGATTGAAAATCCTGCGATAAATCAATTGTTCGAAAAGTTTAGCAAAACAGGAGATTACCGATATAGGTCTATAATTTCCTACATCACCAGAGGGGCCAGATTTAATGCAATGTTTAAGTGCTATTGATGATTGCAGGACAAAAAGGAACATAAAGAAACTTTAACATTCAAAAACATCAACAGCCACACACCTTCTTGCTCGCCTCCTTACAGCATTCACTGCACGACGAATTTCGTTAGCGCTAATGGACTGGCATGCTCGACGAATTCGGAGTTTCATATTCTCCCTTGTTGTAGGCGGTTCCATGTAGACTATTTCTTTTATTCGGCTCCACAGGAAAAAGTCCAGTGGAGTTAAATCAGGTGATCGTGGTGGCTATTCCACTGAACCCCCACGACCAATCCAACGCATGGGATAATGCCGGTCAATTACCCTACGTGCAACAACTGCAAAATGTGAAGGACACCCATGGTGTTGATACCACATTGTTGTCCTTGCAAGTAAGGATACATCGCCCAAATAGTAAATGTTCAGCACATTTTGTACAAATTGGGCATATGTTTCTCCATTTAGAGCCGTATCAAAGAAATGTGGACCAATTATTTACTCTCCTATAATACTACACCACGTGTTGAGGGTCCATAAGTGTTGATTGTCAACATATCTCACCCAATGCGGATTTTTCCTTGCCCAGTTGTGGGTGTTATGAAGATTTACCTCTCCATTACTTTTAAAAAGCGATTCATCGGTCCAAAGAACAAGTCTAGGAAAATCGTCGGCTTGATCCAAAATCCAATTACAAAATGCCAGCCTTCTTTCAAAATCTCGTCCACCAAGAGTGTGATGGACACTAAGATGGTATGGATGCAAACGATTTTCCTTTAATATTCTCCATACTGTTGATTGGCTTAAGTCTATCGAAATCCGGCATGTAGAAACGTGTGGATTCAAGTTCACCGCTTCAAGAACGTCAGCAGTACTTTCCTCTCTTCTGACTCTTCGAATCAGCAAGCCTTTGTTCTGAGTTAACAGTGACCTTTATAAATTCATCCATGATTATGATGCACAACAGAGTACTGAGACCGTCACCTTGACGAATGTTTGTTGTAGTTCGGAGATGTTGTCTTAGAGTGAAGTTTCGTATTTGTATAGTTTGTGTTTAGGTTCTTAATAAGTTCTATGTATTCTTTCGACATATTATGGTTTTCCAGGGTCGTGATATCATCTTTTAGTTATACTCTGTCGAAAGTCTCGATTAGAAAACCTATACTTTATAGGTATTTCTACCAGTTGTCTAAGAATGAACAGTGCATCACAGTGGTGTGGTATAGTGGCGGCGACAGGGGCGCCTTTTAGGGGACAACAAACTTTCACAATAAATAATATCTTGTAAAAATTTGAACCATTTGAAGTTTTACGTACTTGGATGATCTCCTTCCAAAGTCAATACACCCAATGGATCAAAGCTTTGCTCATCTGATGGATGTAATACTTGATGGAAATTAAATCCTAAGGTTTCAAGTCACGAGTCTAGTGGACTACACAACCAAAATTATTGTAAATGGAAGGAGTTGGAGACCAAACATAAAAAAAGAACAGACTATTGACAAAATAGAAAAAAAACTTAGTGGCAGAGGAAATAAAAAATGGTAAGAAATTCTTATCAAAATGTTTGATATTATAAAATTCCTTGCTAAATAAAATTTGGTTTTACATGGCCGTAGAGAAAACTATACCATTACTAATAGAGGAAACTTTGTGCATTTAATTACAAAGTATTATCCTGTACTTCGTAAACATCTGTAAGATCAAAAATGTGTGCAAAATTTCAATAACGAATATGTCTCCAGAAATCTAAAATGAATTTATAGCAATTTTGGGAAGTAAAGTTCGCCAAGATCTCATTGGACAAATAAAAAAGGACAAGGATAATTCGATTATATTCGACAGCACTCCACATATTTCTCATAAAGACCAAACAAGTCAGGTATTAAGAAACATAGTAATTGAAAATCAGGAAGTAAAAGTAATGGAATCATTTATAAGTAGATTTCATTGAAACACAACTGTAGAGATAAAACATATGATAATACTACTATTATGGCTGGAAGGTATTGAGGAGTTTAGCGAAGAATTAAAGAAAAAATCCCAAAGGTGAATTTGTATCTTGCTCAAATCATTCATTAAACTTGGTTTGATTACACACTACCTCCGTTAAGGCAAGTTCAATAACTTTTTTCGGTACATTAGAATTGCATTTTTTTCCATATCCACACATCGTTGGGAAGTTCTGATAGCAGCTGCAGGCAAAAGTTTAAAAAGGGTTCAAGATACGGTGGAGTGGAAGAGGCGATGCTGTATATGAATAACATTGCATCATTATAAAGACATTCTCATCGCTTTAGAAAAACTGACAGATACAGGTGAAAGCTTACACAGGAACAGATACAGGAAGGTTGCTATTTATGATGGCGTCATTTTCCTTTATTTGTTTGGCGCGCCTCTGGGAACCGGTGTTACATGAAGTAAATGATGCACAAAAATATTTACAAAGAAAGGGTTTTGACATAATATTGTGCGCTCAGAAAGTAAATTCTTTGCAGATGACGCTGATAGAGAAACGAGAGGAATGGGCAGATGGCATTGTAAGTTATGCAAATATATGTGACGATCTTCACATTTCCATAGAACCGCAGCATAACCGGCGCATAACGAGAAGGCGCATTATCTAGGTCTCTGGTTCTGTTTTCGGTAGATAGATTGCTTAGTAATGTTATCCATGGGTAGCTTTTTGTTTTTTTTATTTTGCTTGAAATATTTTAAAATATTAGAGATCATATTTTTTTTGCATAAATTTCAACAATAATGTTATTTTTTTTATATTTAATCAACGCCGAATGAGATTGTACAACAGATATTTGCATACATTAATTATAAAACTATTTATCTATCTGATATTATTGACCTTCTTACTTTCTGTTGAGCAATAATTGATGATTCCAGAATAATTTGTCCCGCAACGATTGTACAATACTGCATCAGCATATTCTATGATCGAAAATAAACAAAAAAAGCCTATGTATTGTTACACCATATCCACAAGGCCTGTGGAATTAGAAGAAGCAGTTTTGAGAAGAGTTGATGAAAAGGCCTCAACCAGCATTAGAAAAAATTCTGCACAAGAAACATTAACAAAACAACCGTTCACCGCATTTTAGGGGAGCAGTTGCTTTATCCTTACAAGACCATTCAAGCTCTAACAGAAAATGATGGCGAAAAAAGAGAGATTTTTTGTAGGTGAGCCATATAGGAAGAGGTAGTAAACGTCGACTTTCCCATAAACATTGTATTTACAGATGAAGTAACATTTACTTAAAGCGGAATTTTTAATATTCATAATGCGCATGTTTGGAATGATGAAAATTCAGTGTTGATGTATGGGCTCGAATTATAGGTGATCAGTTATTAGGTCCATTTTTTCTTTCAAAGAGATTGACAGCCGATGCTTACATACATTTTTTACAAAATGACCTTACAGAGGCATTTGATGAATTACCTCAACAAATTCTAGAAGATTGCTACTTTATGCACGATGAAGCACCAGCACATTATCCACGCGCTACTCGAGCATACTTAAATAACAGATTTGGCAATAAGTAGATTGGTCGAGGAGGTCCTGTCCCGTGGCCACATCGTTCACCAGATTTAAATCCGTTAGATTTTTGGTTTTGGGGATATTTAAAACAAATATTTTATTCTGAAGACGTTCAAATTGTTTAGGATTTGGAAAATAAAATTAGTAATGCATTTGACACAGTAAAACAAATTATAACATGAATCTTTTCCAATTTGTTAAATATTCGTTGTTTTTATGCTGGTTGAAATATTTTCTTCGACAGTCTTTGTTACTTGTTTTGTTAAATTATTAATGAACTGTATTAATTAACTTAATATTATCTTATTATTTATTAAATTTTATCTTAACCATGGTAACCATGGTAATCATATAATTACTGCATCTAAATCGTTACAATTAATGATGTTAACAATAGGTCAACTTATGAAACTAAAACTTTGAATATCTCCAAATGGTCCATTTTCAGACCTTTGTTTATTAGACTTTTTTGTCTATTTTCGATCAGAGAATACGCTGATGCAGTCTTGCACAATCGTTGCGGGACACGCTGTATAGTAGAGAGCTCGTGAATAAGTGACGTGAAGGTTAGAAGCACATTTTTGTGATTTTTTGTTCATCTTGTACTTGCATAAAATTTCCACCAACGTTAGCTCATAATCTTTTCGAAACTTTAACATTCTATATTAATAACATTGATAGCTCTATTGAGTCAACAGATTCAACACTGACATGATCTGGAAATTCCTCCGTGTTATCCCATGTAAATAAACTGCTAAATAATGTACTGAATGACAGAACATTCCGAGTTGTTATGGAGTCCAATATGAGCTCACTAAGAAAGCTCAATAACCGAAAGACAAAATTGACGTGAATCTTCGTATTTCCATTTTAGAGTATATGTGGCAGCTTGGCCATCTTTTGTTTTTAGTAACTTTAATTTGTTTTTGTAATTCTAGCTCAAAGTTATAGATTCCTGGTCATCGGAAATTCATTTCAAACGATAGCATTTAGTTATCGCCTATCGTACAAAAAGTATGTGAAACAATTCCAAAAGAATTATTTGTGACATACTACCAAAAAAATTTGTATGTATTGGAACTTCCTTTGGAGATATTGGATGGTAAACACGTTCAAATCTTGGCTCCTCCAAGCAGCGACTCAGATGTTGACTACAAATCTATTTTGGTTGATTTGGAATCTAAGGAAAAAATAGCAATGGCGATTCTTTGCCAATTCTCGTTTAGGAAAACGTTTAACAAATATTCCCAACCCTATAATATTTCCAAATTCAAATATTACCTCACCATATTAATGTAAGGTTTTATTCAACACAATTATTTGCGGAATAATAACCTGTCACACCAGCGAATGTACAAAGCATTTAAAACTTATATTAGTACGACTTTCACGGCTGATGTTAATTGAATTGCACTAAAGTAATTATACCACCATGGGGGTTACTCTACAACTTATTTCATCAATATATGATTTATCTTTATAAGGAAAAGATTTCCTTATTAGTGACTTTTACAATGGAAACGTAAAGCTTTAAACTGGTATGAAACTTCGCGTAAGATATTGAATGTAGTTCTTGTAATTTGGGGGAAAAGCTTCTACCTTTTGATTATGAAGGGACGGTTTTCAAAAAAAATCAAGAAGTCTACTCAGTGTGTCGATGAATCTATTGGGATGTATATGTTATTATGAACTTATTATAGGCATCATCTGCCCATTGCAGAGCTTAAGATGTTGGAAAATCTTCGATATACTACAAGCAGTTTACATTTTCGTTTGATTGTGAAAGTTAGATCGTCTTTGCCAGTGGTTGTTTCATCTAGGGATCATGAAACGGTCAGGAAGTTGCCTTATTCAGAGGAAAAATGACTTAGGTGATTTGCTTTAATCAGTTTTTGATCCCAGTTATTTAGAAACATGATGCCTTTAAATAATCCTTGAAAGGTCCAATTTTATTGGTTAGATAAGAATATTATAAAGCTTTTTAATGTTTTATTAATAAATTTTTTATAACAGCATGTCATAAACTGAAGTGAACATTTAAAATTCCGATTATTCGATTATTCTTTTTTTTAAAATAACTGGTAAGCCATTTTTGCTTGTTAAAACCACTTCACCAGCTATATCTGCTTCATGATCGTTGATTGGATGTAATGTAAAATGTCTCATAATGTAGCTAATTAAAAATTTAACTTCGGCAATTGCAACTATTTTACCTAAAAATGTTAACGAAAAATTATAAATAAATATTTAATGAATATGTGAATTGGTTACCTATGCAATCTCTTGGTCCCAACGAAAATGGTAAATAAGCATTTGCTGGGATTTTGGTGGCATTTTCTGGAAGAAATCTTTCGGGTTTAAACTTTGTGGGTTCTTCAAAATTTAAATAATGAGACCCGATTATTGAAAAAACTAAATCGGTGTCACCCGGAAAAACTTTATCACCTAAAAAATTTTTATTAAAAAGCTAATCTGTTATAGAATTAATTTACCGATTGCTGCCGATTTAATTAAAGTTCTAGAAATAAATGGAAATGGAGGATAAAGTCTTAAAGTTTCTTTCATAACACAATCAGCAAAACTCATTTGTTGAATATCTCTAAATTCAGCAAAAACGTTTTCGTCAAAACCTACAATCGAAATGTATTCCTGATACATTTTTTCTTGTAATTCGGGGTGTTTAGCAAGTTCATAAAGAGCAAAACCGGTTGCAGCTGAAACTGTATCGGAACCCTTCAAAAAATGATTAAGAACTAAAATAATGTAACATGAGCAAATAATTACAGCAACAACTAATGTTCGAAGCTGCGCTAAAATTCTATCATAACTCAAACCAGATTCTAAAAGTAAATCAATAAAATCTTTTCGATCATTTTTATTCGGCGATTTCTTTTTTAATTCGATAACTGTTTTTAAAGTACTTTCAATAAATTCTTTAGCTTCTTCAGAACATTTGGTCCAAATTTTATAATTATTGGTTAATTTAAATATGTTATCGTTAATCTTCAATGGGGAATTGATTCTATCGAAATAAACTTCGAAAAATGTTTTCAAAGCTGTGATATAACGATTTACACGATCATCTTGGTTGCTAATATCTTCATTAAGTAATAAATCTAAAAAAAAAATTTTTCTTTGATGCGTAAATACTTATTATATTTTTTACCATAAACGATGTTTAATCCATGTCTTAATAACAACATTTGCAAATCAACGGGTTGATTTAAATTTTTATTAATCGCATCGCGCAGTTTAATAGCGTGTGTTTTAAATGTTGATATATAATCGATGTTGAATTGATTATTAAGTACGTGTGAAATCATTTTTCGTTCTTGTCTCCATAAATTAACTAAAAAAATTTTTTGATTTCAATTTCTAAATAACTATCTAAATAACAACAAGAAATGTTAAGAGGTTATTCAGGATTTTAGATAACTCAGGGTAAAAAGTAATTACTATCGCTCATCATGGGTAATCCGCTTCCTACAAATGCTTCCAATAACTGAAATAAACTTCGTTTATTAACATGTTCTTTCGATAATAAAATATGTTTAATAAATTTTTCATCGGAAACGAGGAGAGTTGGCTTAAAAGGTTTGATCCATATTTTAACAACTGGCCCATATTTTTTATTTAAAGATACGACAAATTTATAAGAATCTAAAAAGAAAATGTTTCATAATAAAATTAAATCACAAAATTAAGAACTTACCAACAGTCGATTTCGGTAATAATACAAATTTTAATAATTCTAATGGTGTTGGTCCAGGATAATCATCAATTATCTTGTACTTGTTTGTTTGATAAAAGTAATAAAATGTAAAAAAAGATATTAAACCCATAAAAAGTATCAACAACATTTCGGATATGTTTGTTTAACACAACTATGGAAAGATTAAATTTAAAGTATTTTTGATATTGTTTGACCTTAACATTTTATCATATTTAAACCTTTGAATTTTACCTTGATCACCTTGATAGTTTAGAAGACTAATTTTAAGGTAATTTAATTTTAATTAATTCAAAAGAAAACGAATAAAATGAAATTACAAGCAAAGCAAAAAATATAGTAAAATATAATATATAAAATATTACACGTAACATTTACCTAAAAACAAATACACAGTCATAATAATCCGTGTCAGAACAGTAGTGGCCGGGAAAAAAAAGTTAATCTGTTCTTATACTAAACACATTCAAAGGCCATGCTCTACGCAATAAAACTTCCTTAATCCTAGTTACAAAAGCTTTAAATGTTAAATTCCTATAACTACCAGGCAGACTATTAAAAAATTTTACTCCATAATAATTATACCCCCCTCCTAGTTTTGTAATTGTGAAAATCACCATTTTTTTTTTAGTTGACTATGAAGTAATATTGTAAACTTCAAACATTCAAAGATATATAATGAAGGCAGTGTCAAAATTTTTTAATTGATAAAAGAAGAGCGGCAGTCTTCAGTATAGTTTAATTTGGCGATATTTCTTTGTATATTAAATATTCTTGTATTATATTCTTTATTATGACTCTGAAAAAGCACAAAATCGTGCGCAATACCTCCGTAGAAGAAAATTCAGAAAGACGTCTTAACAAAAAGGCTGTGGAGCTTAAACGAGAAGTTAAAGCTTCGCCATGAAAACTCCAGGTAAGTCCGGAGTCCACATGCACACCCAGAAATCTGAAACTATCATCAGAATCCAAACTTTTATCTATGTGCTTCAGTGAAAAGGTCATTGATACTGTTTTATCATTATTCAACGTTAGCTGATTACTTGCACACCAATGTCTAGCCGAAATAGACACTAAATTATTATTTTCGGTAGCTTTTGTTTTAGATGAATGTTTATTTAACAAAGTTGTGTCATCGGCATACAAAATTGATTTTGCAGAATTCAAAAGTGACGGCAACTGATTGACCAATGGGGAACCCACTATCAATTTCTATTTGTAAGATATGATGATAGAAGTTTACATGCCTCTGGGGTGACATTATACGCTTACAATTTAGGAATTAAAATTGAATGAGATACACAATCAAAAGCTTTTGTGAAATCCAAGAAACTTGCTTCGGTGTATTGTGAAGTCTCGAAACCATCGACTGCATACTCAATAAAGCTTTGTATAGCTGTAGCGATGGACTTTCCCTTTCTAAAACCAAATTGTTGTTTATTAAAAATATTACTATCTTCAAAATATTTGATTAATTGATTTTTTAATAGTTTTTCAAAAAATTTTGATAGTACAGGTAATATACTAATTGGTCTGTAGTTCGAAGCCTCATTAATATCACCTTTCTTGAATAACGGTATGACATTTGCAATCTTAAACTCGTCAGGAAAGTAGCCAGCGGATAGTCAATACTGGAATCAGACAATTTTTAACTTTTTTTAACATTATTGAATTTAGACCAAAGAAATCAGTACTTTTTCCAAATTTGAGGGCATCGAAGGAGTCCCAAACCTCCACTTGAGAAAAAGGTTGAAATGTAAAATAATTATTATTAACATAATTAACATGTTCAATAAATAATGACAAAGGATCAGCACCCACTTATATTTTTAGCTAATTTACCTAGCATCACAAAGAAAACTAAGTTTTAGCTAAGTTAAGAGGCAAAACATAATTTTTATATTTAACTTATTGAGTTCTTACATGTATGTACGTACATAATTATAATCCAATTGAATCCAATTAAAAATTACCAAATCATGCCAGACTAGTTCTGATACAGTCGCAGAATAATAATAGCGTTTATTCTCCACAAATATACATATGATACGATAAATAAAAATGTATATATAAAAACACTTGGCGAACCTCAGGGTCCAGCTCAGCTGAGTGTATACACACAAATTATATACAAAAAACTTAAAATGAAACTTCTGCCTATAACTATGACTTATACTAAGGAATATATGTCTACAAACAAAATAATAAAAGAAATTCGCCAAAAAAATTACAAAAGAAAGCCTATTTTAAGTATACATTAATCCACTCGCCGAAGAAGCAATCGCTACAACCCAAGCCCAATCATTGCTTCTTAAAAAGCATTTCAAAAACTGCACATTTGTACGCCGCCACGCTTTTTGATTTAAATACCACCGGAAGAGGGTTATAATAGGCATAAATGTTGTAGCTAAACGATCTTTCAAGTAAAGAGGTCCTATCAGCAGAAGAGGCAATCAAATTCCTATTTCTAATATTGATGGAATGAATATCACCTCTAAATCTTACTTT